ATTTAGCTTTATTCAGTTTCAGTCAGTTGCTTAGAGCACAGCTAAGTTAAAAGTTACTTAGAAGTTATAACACAAAGAAACTGTGTAGCAACCGCAACTAAGTTGCGAAATACATTGCACTTTAAAACAATTAATGACATTTTTATTGTTCGTACAGTACTAACTACTGTTGACAGCAATTGCCATAATTATAAGTCGATGTCCTGCGAAGTATTGATACATCAAAAAAATATTGCCAGAAAAAAAACTTAATGTTGTTTTCTTTATTATGATTATATAAAAAAACACAAACTTTGTTTGTAGTTAATTTAGCGCGAAATCTAGGGCTTTTTTAAAGCGCTGTTTTCATGAAATCTAGCGCTTTTTGTGTTGTCCTAGAGCTGAATTAGTTTTTTTTATCTGGCAGCACTGCCCAAAAACCCTCTATTAAGAAGTAACTTTCCTTTCAGTTTTAAGCGCGTTCAGTTCCCAGTTACAGTCAGCGTGTGTTATGCGATGACCAAAGCGATGACCGTAAATAAAGCGCAAGGTCAAACTTTACGCGTTGTAGGAGTGTACCTCAGTACTGACTGTTTTGCACATGGCCAACTCTATGTTGCTTTTTCCCGCGTTAGTAGCCCCCGTAACCTTTTAGTGTACACCCCGGCTAAGCCTACTTCTCACGTCGTTTACACAGAAGCTCTATCATAAACGACTTAGAACTTTGATGATAATGATTTATTTAGTTACCACTTATTGATACAGTAATGAAATAAATCGTTTAATATTCTCTTACCTAAACGACAAATTGTTTATGTAAAACCTGTATACGCGAGCTACGCCGCGGGCACAGCTAGTTATTAATAAGATAAGTCGCGCACGCAAGCTAAATAAAACTTCGTCGCTGCGCGCGAGTGTCCGAATTACTTTGCATCTTTTTTCCTTACTACGTCACAACGGACTTTCCGTGGTTGCTAAGGCTGTTAATAAAGAGTAAAAAAATACATTGTGAAATGGTAAGTTACTTAGGTAAAGTACCTATGCTGACTATAATCGACCATATTATCTACTGAGTTCTGTGATATCCAACGCGTGCAACTTGCAAGGTCATTCGCCGAGAATTGCGAGGCTTGATACGTATAGGTAGATACTAGATAGCGTAAACAACAAATAAACCCAAAATACGATTCCTAACAGATATATGATTGTAATTAACTTAGTTGAAAATCGTGTAAACAAAGTTTTAATTTCAGTATTTTGAGCTATTATAACTCAAAATATTTTAATTACAAAGACTAACTAAGTTTTGTAATAAAGTACTTAGGTATTACTTCTGTAATTAAATTATTAGTTTATTATTTTTTCGCTATAAGTACCTATCTAACAAAAAAATGAAATAAATTTACCTTTCATTATCATTCGGTAACTCAAAAAATATTATATTTTTTATATATTTTTCTTAAATTACATTAAAACTTTTTCAACTATTTTATCCTACAATTAAATAATTATACTAAACACTAAAAAAAAACTATTTCGACGAGTATTTCAACAAGTATTTACAAAAAATTATTTACGTAAACAGCGTTAAAAAAATTTAACATTCAATCATATAGAGCGCGCTAGTCCCGACAGCGATCTACCCCTGGGGCAGCTCGCGATTGTAGGTAATTATTTCACGCAGGTAGCAAGAGTGACAGAGGCCTGCTAATACGACCTTTGTACGTTTTCCATGTCTGCACATTGTGATCAAAACTATTTAAAATCCCAAATTGAACACTTGGCTGAGACATCGTCGATAAAAAAAATATCGCGGGTAGCTCGTCGCCACTGTTAGATATAGGGACGGACAAGTGATACGATCGCTGGCTAGCTTAACCTTCCTTATATATTACTATACTCTTTGCTTAACACTGTTTATTGTTCACTCAATAATTAGCGGTGGGCGCAGCCACGCACACATACCCAACAGTAACTGATCATACTAGACAGGGGTAAGCTTTGGATACGAGGAAAATGCTTCTCAAGAATATAACTACTCAGTTATAATTAGTAAGTAAGGCTTATTAGCTACTGTTTAAATCCGAATCGATGACGTGTAAACACTATCTTTTCAATTAAAGTTACCAGTTTAACGTATCGTTTAATGCCACGAAAACAGAGCCGACCCTACCATAGGGAAAATGGAGCAATGCCGCTCCATGCATACCAAGTAAGTCCCAGGGGGCGCCTCAATTGTAAAGAAATAGGAAGGAAAAAAGGTTTTATCGCGTTTTGATATTCTGATTGTGAGCGAGTGGTTAGTATGGTATATATAAATGACCTTATCTCTTGATTCGCGCGCAAGCAAGGCTTAATAATCGAAAAATAAATACGAGACTTATGATGTCGAGATTGTCCAAGTTCCATGATGGCGCGCCCAAAGTATAGTTTAGGGGTTAAACAGGGACTCTATAATTAGATCTTGGTCTATCCTAAAACATGTCTCGAATCAGCACTGCACGAAAAGACTATCGACTCTTTTCTTGCGTCGGCTTTTTAATAGCAAATTGGACTAGAGTCCTCGAGGTCAGAGCGAAGTCAAGGTCTAGAGCGGAAAAATTAGAAAAGCCGACTATTACAAAACCTATTTAGCCTTATTACAAAAAGTAGAGAAAATAAAGACATGAGAAAATAGAGCCATATTAATTGTATAGTTGTAGCACGAATGGGTCGGCTCGACCGGGGAAGGACCACGCTCTCACAGAACACCAGCGTAAAATAGCAGCTTAACGCTTTGTTTCGTATGGTATAGAGAACCTGAGACCCTTTTTACTGGAAAAGAGGCGTTCCATCTTAGCCCTCACGGCTAACAACGCATCTGCATTTTGATTCGCAAGCGAAGGACATTCGTAGATGTCTATGGGCCACAGATACCACTTACCATCAGAAATTCGAATGCATATTAAGCTAACAACGAAAGGGTGGAGACTGGCCGAACGTCTGGTTGTCCGATGGTGGAAGGGAAAGGGAGGAAATAAATTATGCAATTCCTGCGCACACTCCTAAATTCATCCTGTAGAAAACTGAAAGGCTGGCTACTTTGCCTCTGTCTTCGAGGCTGGTAAGATTGGTTTTAACCAAATTCGGGTCACCAATAAGCCTCTTAGCACGCCTTTCCATTGAGTCCAAAGCTGCTAGGTGGCATTTTGCAGCACCAGCCCATATATGGCAGCAATACTCCCGGAATTGAGCTTTATATACAGTAAGCAGCTGTCCTGGCGAGATGTAACTCCGCACCTTTGCAAGGACTCCCAGCTTCCTTGCATCTGCTTTGGCCTTGGACTTAATGAACCACCCGAAGTTCAGATTTGAGGATATCTCAAACCCTAACAACTGAAGGCGGTTGGTATATTCCAGTGATACATTTCGGAAAGAAGGAGCCAAGGTGGGCTGGATCCTTTTTGAAGTGAAGAGACGCTTGTGTTTTGGAGGCATTGAATTTCACAAGATTGGCATCGCCCCATTCGGAGACTGCCTGTAGTGTGAGATTAGTTTATTGACTGATGTTTACTAATGGCTCAGCCGCACTATGCCCCTCGCTCCTCGCTGCCGCGATTTTGTCTTCTCTGCCCACACACTGTTCTACTCGCGCAATTAACCGCGACGCTCTGCACATGTTGCTTGCGTTTGCAACACAATGGCTAATGAAATTGTGACAGCATGCGCGCTATATGTTTTCTTTTCTTTTCGCTAATTACATTAATGTCATATACTTTACACTACATTCTTTTCGCTAATTACATTAATGTCATATACTTCAATGGGGCCCCCATATATCTAAATTAGCAAGCAGACTTAGTTCTGCAGCATATGCTGTAAGAAAGATTAGAAGTCTCACAGATGTTGAGACAGCTAGGTTAGTGTATTTTAGTTACTTTCATAGCGTAATGTCTTATGGAATTTTGCTATGGGGTAATGCGACTGATATTGAAGCTATATTTGTTTTGCAAAAGAGAGCCGTACGGGCGATTTATAATCTAAATTGTAAAGAGTCCCTTAGAGAAAAATTTAAAGAAATAAACATATTAACTTTGGCATCGCAATATATTTATGAAAATGTAATGTATGTACATAAAAACATAAATAGCTTTAATAAGAATAAGGATGTTCATACCTTAAACACTAGGAACAAACATAAGCTTGTAATGCCACTTACAAGACTCCACAGAATTAGTAATTCATTTATGGGGCAATGTATACGCTTTTACAACAGAATCCCAGAACATGTTCAAAGTTTGTCAATAAACAAGTTTAAAAGTTTTATTAAAGAAAACTGTACAAAAAGGGTTATTATAATATCAAGGAATACATGAATGAAAATAACCCCTGGGAATAAGGTGATCGCCACCATGCTGGTTCTATGAAAATTCATTTAAAATTGTATAAACAAAATTATTGTTAAGTGAAATTATGTTTAAAAAAAAAGTCCCGCTGGGTTTCTTGCTGGTTCTTCCCAGGACAGAGGTATTTTCCGAACCAGTGGTAAATAAAATAATGACTTTCAATAAGTATTATGTAATAATCCATATTGAATAAAAATCATTCTATTCTATTCTATTCTATTCTATAAAAGAAATATTCGACGTCGTTCTCGCCAACGGAAATGGTGAATGACATTCACAGAAATAGAACGACGCTTCCGTAACGAGCGCTTGATTCGGACTGCGTTTGCGCGAGTATGTGGCCAGCCATTCACGTTCATATTGCCAGTCCTTTGATTCGCGCCCAAAAACCGACAAAACAGTGAGCGATGGGCATGACGAGGAGCATGACTTGCGGCATGACGAGTATTGTGGCCACACTACGCGCCTGCATTCCTCGCTACTTCCTATGCCACTCGATGAGTGTGTGGCCGGGGGGTAACGAAAAAAATGTTTACTGTTTGAAAAATCTTTATTTCTTTACTCCTATATTCCGTGAGATTTTCAGCAATTTTTAAATACTAAAACTAATGTCTTCTAAGGATTATTCAGAAAATTTTAAAAATCAATTTTGTTTCCGGACGGAGACGGCGTCGGCGACTTTGTCTGGCTGACTTTGGATAAATTTGCTACTTTTGTTGCAAACTTGACAAAATTCAATCCGGATACTTGAGGTTCCGGCTTCTGACCGCTTTCCGGTTGAAATGATGCGTCCAGCGAACCTAGACGTGAAAGAAACACGTTGTATTTTAAATTCATGTAATGAGACAAATATAAATTAGACTAATTATATGCTTAAGACAAATTTATAAAGTAGGTACCTATTTCACAAGCAAAAGTCTTACTATAGTAATGGTTGGCTGGCTGTGGCTCACATTCTTAGTTCTTCGATATGTAACATTTGTTAAAGGTCGTTTAACGAACCTAATGAAACATACCTACTCGTACAGATATTTGCATTACGTTTACGCGGGTGGCACAGGATCGTATATTGTGGTACTCTGGTATTCTGGTGGCTTTTGTTTAGCTGTGGACTCTTGATTGAATGTAATCTTGATGATAATACACAAAAATGGGCTTGGTAATAGAGCCTAGGATCTACAACGTGGCAGGAAGGAGAACTGACTGCGGAGCAATGCTATTTATGGCCAATATAATATAATATATTATTGTGTATATATATTATTACCGTGGAAACCCATGGGCTAAGTGTTCACCGTAAATTTTACAGTCCGCGAGCAATCCAAGTTCGATCTCAACCGGCCTGTGAAATTGTCAATTGCAATTTTAAGTGCTTGTTAACCACGTGCTCGACGTGAAAGAAAACATCGCGAGAAAACCTGCATGTCTGCGAAATAAAATATTTTTAGGTAATATGGAGGTAAAGCTGATTTAAAAATCAATTACTGTTCATATATCGAAAATTTGGTTGTTCTGTTAATGTTTACTGATATTATGTTTCTGACCCTACTCATCGTGCTAACCTCTGCCCTTATCGTTGTTTAAAATTTATAGTCGTTATTTATAAGGATTCACTACCTAGATTAAATTATTTGATAAAGACTACACATACACACACGCGCGCACACACACAACCACGCACGCACTCACACACACGCTAAACCTACTAAAACAAAAAAAAATAGTAAAATTATTTTTTTGTTCATTACATATTTAAGAAAAAATAAATTATTAGTAATAAAATAAGTTTATAATAGAATAAGGCTATATGGTAGCATGTGGCCTTCTAGCACTAATACCTATTTTAAATACTTAAAAGGAGGTCTCAACTATAACACCGTATCAATTTACAATGTACTTATTCCCCAATAAATATTATTATTATTATTACATCGGGCACGGGTAGGTTAAGACGAAAAAGTGCCTCTGTATCAGCTCGTATGTATGTGGCATTATAACATTTCCTTCGTAGTTGATGGTTACCAAAAGAATAAGAAAGCTGTCGCCCAAGTAGGAAAAGAATAATATAGCATAGAATACAAGCGTAAAATAATATGAGGGGGGATGCCTTTCTACTGGTAGAAAACAGGCATTCCATCATGTCTTCAGGGGTGACAATGCATCTGCCTTTTTATTTTTAATTGCCACTTACGATAATATGATATACACTCATTTACAAAATATTCTCTATAATAATAATACACACATAATAAATTGGTTTCTTATTTCAGAAATATATTTATATAACTTAGTTAATATTTATAATCTACTTTCTCTGCGGCAGGGTGTTTTTTTTTTAATAAATTAAGGCCTAATACAAACACTCCGCAATCTTGACCTGGCCCAAATGTATTCCCATCTTTTCACAAACTCCTCTTAATGTTCTAAACAAAATAGTTAATGCTTATAACAAAACTTCTTTTTCAAAATTTCCCTTACTCTGCTGCGGCGACATGATGGAACTAGGCTGCGATCCCTGCTGATTGTCCTCAATTGGATGAATTTTTTCGTGAAGCAATTCCAGAGCTGACGGTAACGAGGCAGCGAAACAAAGTAATATTTATGTCATATGAGTTTATCGCTTTGATATTATCTTATCAATATGCACAACAAACACCTGACAAGATTCTATTTACTTTCATATAATATAATCATGCATGTGCGTGGTAGAGCCATGCTGCAGCTATATTAGTAGTATAGTTGTAGAGGTGATCTTCCGACGCTGGTAGTCCGCCTCGTTCTGCTGCTTGGTGCGTGGAATACGGAAACGGAAACAGCAGCAGAGCATTACAACTGTAGTTAGAAATAGATATTTAATGGTATTAGTAGTATAGTTGTAGCACGAATGGGTCGGCTCGACCGGGGAAGGACCACGCTCTCACAGAATATCAGCGTAAAATAGCAGCTTAACACTGCTGTGTTTCGTATGGTGAGTGTAGAGAACCGGAGACCCTTTGTTTTGGAAAAGAGGCATTCCATCTTAGTCCTCACGGGTGACAACCATTCTGCATTTCGATTCGCAAACGAAGATAGATGTAGATTTCTATGGGTCACAGCAACCACTTACCATCAGGTGGACTGTGTGTTAGTTTGTCACCCATTTCTATTAAAAAAACGTAAACACGAAAGCACCTGTCAAGTTCTCACATTAAAGTATCAAGTAGTGCTTACTCAGTAGTTGGAAGAACATTAGTATGACGCAAAGACTTTTGTTTCGATCAACAATATTGTTGATCGAAGCTTCTATGTACTATACTAAATAATAAACGGACTCTGCAGCCTATTGCACACGAAGTTACGGTCAATTCTCCGCAACTCCTTTAGACGACTGCGAGCGAGGGAGAAGAGTAGTTATTTTTTTTAAACCGCGAACGTTGTTTTCGATAATCTAACACTGATTTTGTTTAGTGTGACTAAGAAAACGCTATCATTATTTATGTGCGCATTTTTGCAACGTAATTTGAAGTTTATCTATATACATATAAGCGAAATACCGCTGACTCTCACTCATCACGAGAACTCCAAAACCATAAGCCCGATTGACTTGAAATTTGGCATATATAGTTACTCCTTTCTCGACGTAGACCCACCCCCTAAGAAAGGATTTTTAAAAATTCAACCCCTGAAGCAATGAAATAGTGTAAGAACTTCTTTCAGACATGATAACTATGTTGCAGAAGTAAACAGCAGAGTCAGGAAGTTAGATTCCTAGGCAACCTACGCTGTTCCTTCCGCATATCAATGATATGGTGCAAACCACAGGTGATGCTTTTTACACCGGCCGTGCCAATATTTACATCACATCATCTAGTAGCGGAACAAACTTGTGTCTGAAGTTGAGTCGTTGTTAAACAAACTATTGGATTGGGAACGACTAAATCTAGTCTAATTTAACCCTCAGAAGAAAGGTTTGCGCGTTTACCGCTAAAATGAACCCCTTTGTCGTGTGTCGCTCTTCAATTTCAGGGCATTCCCCTTGCTGCCTCAACTAGCATCGGAATTCTCGGCGTTGATATATCGAAAGATCTGCAGTTTCTTGGTTACTTGGAAGGGAAGACTAAACTGGCCTCCAAAAAGCTTGGCGTGCTCAGCAGAGCAGGACAGTATTTCATGCCGGCACATCGCTTGTAACTTTACAAGGCGCGAGTTCGCCCTCAAATGTCAAATGCGTAGAAAAAAAATTCGTAGAATTCCGTAGATGCTACTTCTAAATATCCGTAGATCCGGATACTTCTAAAGAGCATCGACAATTTTCGTTTTTGTCATAGAATAGATCTATTTTTTGGAGAAATTTTTCCTGTCATTTAAAACTCTTGTTGTAAGTTTAATTGTAGTAGTATCTATAATATATTCAATTTTATAGCACCTATCACATATAAAAAAAAAGTATAACTAAATAAAAGTCGACCGACTTCAATATAAATAATTTATTGTTGAATTTTTTTGAAACCGCTCGACCGATTTGGATATCATTTAAATGGGACCACTTAGGAAATATACCCTTTAAACAAAAAAAAAAAGAATTTTCCAAATCGATTCAGGCGTATTCGAGTAATGGTTAAGGCTCGCCACATACATACGGAATTCCGTTTCGAGATTCCGTTTCGGAATTTCGAACGGATCGGCCACACACATACGGAATCCCATTTTGTCCGCAAAATTTCGAACGGAAAACTACCGTACGTGTGTGACGGGCCATAGATTTTATATGGACTTGCTGCGTTCGGAATTCCGAATCGGAATATCGAAACGGAATCCCGAAACGGAATTCCGTATGTATGTGGCCGGCCTAAACATACAAAAAAACATTCCAACCAATTGAGAACCTCCTCCTTTTTTGAAGTCGGTTGAAAATTGATTAAAAATTAATTGTTTTCTTTTAATTAAATTATTTTTAGTAAAACGCAAATAAAATAATTAACACTTGAATATTTGTGGATAATTATACTAAAAAAATACGTTACACACTTGATACTGGAAAATTTTGAAGCAATAATTAGACGAATGAAAAACAACGGACCATCTTCACTAAAATTAACATAGATAAAAGTTTTTCTGGTTTCTGTTATCTGATAAATCTGATAAATTACGGTGTTTCAGACTTCGGTAATTTATGTAACTGAAAAACTATACAATTAACAACTTTTCCGAAGCGAAGACTTATTCGGCAGAAATTTTAAATAATTGTAAAAACAATTGGGGTAGTCTGATTTAGAAAAATTTAAGACATAAGTGATAATTCTATCGTCTATGAAAATATAAGCATTTATATTAACTGCCTCATTTCCAAGAAGTGTTCGAAATTCGAAATAAACGTAATTGAATGCAAAATATCTACGCTATTTTTTTTATAAACGTTACCCCCACACTAGGATTTTCTCCAGTATCGTGGAGGCGGTTTACAAACATCAATTGCACAAGGAGAAACATCCACACCCGGAACAATTATTTACAGGCCATACAAATACTTGTTCCGTACGGGATTCGCACCCGCGGCTCCCAGCGCAGCAACTCATTATTAAGCCACTGCGCCACGGAGCCGTCAATAATAAACCCCACCTATTAAAATTTGAAATAGATTAACTAAATCAAAAAATTAGATATTTATAAGCAAAATGATTTTTTAATATAGACATCATAGAAGAGAGAGAGAATGACATTGTCGGCTAACTTATCACACTCATGATAAAAAATGTTTTTCTTGTTAAGTTTTTAAAAATTCCGTAGATCTACGGAAAAATCCGTAGAGTTGGCAACGCTGGCGGGCGGTTTACGACTGTGACAGAGTATTTTTTTGAATTACCGGTCTAGTAGTATACATAGAAGTCTTTGGTATGAAGTTCCCTAGACGCTGGGATGACACTAAATATTACTCTCGGTGGAGAGTAATAGTGTTCTGTACTAAATATCTTGATCTGAAAACTAATAATTTTTTATCATGAATAAGAGACCGGCTAAGAACTAATAGTTATATTAACTACTGAGCCTTGCGTTAAATACTTTTAACAAACTTTTAAAACAATGTTTATCATAATATTGAAACTAATAATTTAAAATTTTGTACAGCCGACTTCAATATAAGTTATTTAAGAATAACTCAAAAACTATTGGTCTGACCTTGATCAAATTCATATGGGACCACACGGGAACTATCAGCTTTTATATAAAAAAAGAATCATCGAAATCGGTTCACCCAGTACAAAGTTATGAGGTAACACACATAAAAAAATACAGTCGAAATGAGTACCGTCTCCTTTTTGGAAGTCGGCAGAAAACTAGACGACTTATCAGTGATAAAATTAGTACATATATTAATTAGTATTTATTTACTAAATATTATTAGTCTTGAAATATGCACAGATAGTAGAAAGTGAAAATGGCTCCATTTTCCAGCCGTATGAACAGTGAGGAGTATTGGCGGGAACTTGACCGGCGGCGGTTTGCTGCTCCTGTATTATTGTTTAAATAATTGTTTGAAGTGGATTTTGATCTGTAAAAGTGGTGCGATTTTGTGTACTCGTATTAAGTGTCTGCGCATGTGAACTATTAGCGGAAACGGTGAAACAAGTGCTTTGATGGTGATGTGATTTTCAAGATAAGGTGTATATCTGCTTAGACGCCTTGAGATAGCATCGCCCACTTTCAGCTGTCTGCTAGCTCAAGTTTTTTTTTTATAGGAGAGGGGTCAAACGAGCATGCGGCTCAGCTGATGGTAAGTGACTACCGCCACTCATGAACAACTGCAACACCAGGGAGGGAATTGCAGATGCGTTGCCGGCCTTTTAAAAAGGAGTAGGCTCTTTTCTTGAAGGTCCCTAAGTCGTATCGGTCCAGAAAAATCGCTGATGGTAATCCATTCCACAAGGAAGTCGTGCGAGGAAGAAAACATCTTCTAAATCGCACAGTGGTGGACCGCCAATCATCCAATGGTGTGGATGGTATCGGGAGTTCTGCCGCGATGTGCGTTCGTGAAATTTGGCGGCTGGGATTAATCCGAACAATTCCTCAGAGCACTCCCCATGGTAGATGCGAAAGAAAATGCAAAGGGATGCAACATCTCTTCGCAGTGCCAATGAATCTAGCCGATCGGAAAGGGCTCGGTCGTCGACGATTCGAGTCGCTCTGCGCTGGATGCGGTCAAGTGGATGGAGCTGGCACTGGGGAGCCCCTGCCCAGAGATGGGAACAGTATTCCATGTGAGGCCGAACCTGCGCCTTGTAAAGTTGCAGGCGGTGTGCCGGCATGAAATAATGTCCCGCTCTGCTGAGCACGCCAAGCTTTTTAGAGGCCAATTTGGCCTTCCCTTCCAAGTGACCACGAAACTGCACGTCACTCGATATGTCGACTCCGAGGATACCGATACTGGCTGAGGCAAGAAGGGGAGTGCCTTGAAACTGAGGAGATACGACAAAGGGGTTCTTTTTAGCGGTAAACGCGCAAACTTGTGTCTTCTGAGGATTAAACTGGACTAGATTTAGTCGCCCCCAATCCGAGGCTTTGTTCAGCAAAGACTCGACTTCAGACACAAGTTTGTTCCGGTACTCGGCGACGTTTTCCCGAGAAATATTGGCACGGCCGGTGTACAGAGCATCACCAGTGCTGTCATCCGCATAGCAATGAATGTTACCAGTTAGCAACATATCATTAATATTAAGAAGAAACAGCGTTGATGATAGCACACAGCCTTGTGGAACACCAGCGTTAATAGGCTTGTAGTCAGAACATGCACCGTCTACAACGACCTTGATGCTCCGATCTGCAAGGGAACTGGTGATCCAATTGCACAATTTCTCGGGAAGCCCATAGGAAGGGAGCTTCGAAAGAAGCGCTTTGTGCCAAACCCGATCGAAGGCCTTCGCAATGTCCAGACTAACAGCCAACGCCTCCCCCTTGGACTCTACTGCCTCCGCCCATCTATGGGTCAGGTAGACCAGAAGATAACCAGCTGATCGACCCCGACGAAAACCGTATTGGCGGTCACTAATCAGCTGGTGATCCTCAAGGTACCGGATGAGCTGGCAGTTAATAATGGATTCCATTATTTTGGAGAACAAGGAGGTGATCGCGATAGGCCTATAGTTGGACGGGTCTGAGCGGTCGCCTTTTTTAGGTATCGGGTGGACAAAAGCTGTCTTCCATGAGTTCGGGACTCCTTCTTGGGAGTAGGAGTACCGGAAAAGACGCGTTCGGACCCGTGCCAACTCCGGAGCACACGTCCTCAGCACAATTGGAGGGACTCCGTCAGGCCCACTCGACTTCTGGATGTCCAGGGAGAGAAGTGCTTTGCGAACCAAGCGCTGTGAGAACAGCACATCCGGCATGGAGCACTCACACCGCGGGATGGTCGGCGGTGTTTTCCCCCCGTCATCAAGAGTCGAATTGGATGCAAAGAGGGAGCCTAAATGGTCGGCTTTGTCTTTTGCGCCTTGGGCCAGTGAATCGTCCTCCCTGTACAGAGAATGTAGTGATGGCTTACAGAAATTCCCTTGGACAGCCTTGGCGAGAGACCAGAATGCACGGGTTCCCGAAGGAAGGCGAACTAGTTTCTCGCCAATTCTGCCTATGTGCTCTGACTTTGCCTTGGCAATAACTCTTTTGAAGGACCTGGAGGCGAAGTTATACTTCTTTTTAAGCGTGCTGGTGTTTACATCCCGAGTCACCGAAGCCGCAGCCCAGGCTTGATAACACTCCTGCTTACTGCGTAATGCAGTCTTACAGGAGCGACCAAACCAAGGCTGAGATCTGCCTCCGATGGGTACCACAGATGATGGAATAAATAGTTCCATTCCCTGTAGCACCACATCAGTGACAGAGTCAGCAACAGCGCTGGGATCATCCGGCGAGAAGCAAACCCGCCCCCATGTGTAAGATGCAAAGAAAGACCGCATTCCGTCCCAATCCGCCGACCTGTAATGCCAAACACGGCGGCAACCTGCAGAACGCAACCGCGAAGGGAGCGTGAGTGGCACCATACTTCAGATCAGACAATGGTCTGAAGAGCCGAGAGGGGCATCGACGGAAACCCGATATCCGTCCGGATGAGAGGTCAGCAGAAGGTGCAACAGGGAAGGTGTATGATCCTCCACATCTGGAATCCGCGTAGGCGAAGTAACCAGTTGTGTCAGACCATATGCCAAGGCAAAGTCATAAACAGATCTCCCCGCATGATCGGTTAAACGTGAACCGAGCCATTCGGCATGGTGGGCGTTAAAATCGCCAAGGATCACGATCTCTGCGGATGGGACCTGTTGTAGCAAGGAATCTGTAGCCATTTGGAAGTGGTCGATGAGTCGGTCTGTTTCGGCGTTACCGCAATGGGACCTATAGGGGCACCCGTAGACGCGATGTTCGTCGCTGTCTACGCGTAGCCAAAGGATGGACAGGTCCGAACCTTCAAGACCGCCGAGGCGTCGAGAACAGATGTCCTCTCTGACATACACGCAAACTCCAGCCCGAGGCACAAAGGAGTGCTCCAATTTGTACCCCGGGTAGGAGAGATACGAAATATCAGCCGGAGAGGAAACCTGCGTCTCGGTCAGAAAGAGCAAGACCGGCCTCGTCGTCACGAGATGGTAGTGGTCGGCGTTCAGGTTAGAGTGAAGTCCCCTGATGTTGCAGAAATTCACGGATAGCGTGGCAGGGGTCGCCATGGTATTGTTGCTCAGTTTGCCCCGAGCAGTTATGTTTTTGAGCGGAATTTTGCCCCCCCCCCCCCCAGAATACGCGGGGCAGCCTGAGCACCCACGCTCAGGATTGGAATAACATGTTCGTGGATGCTCAGCGAGGGATTCTCCAGGGGTACTGGTACCCTCCTGGGGTAGTCTATCGTGTAATTCCGCTACCATGTTGATGGGGGGGGGGGGGGGGGGGAATTAGGCCTCCGGCCACCTGCACTCACCAGACGAAACGCAGAGGCAGAGCTTCCACTTCACGCCGGAATTCCGTGAGGTCGTGGTACCAACCCGGCTCGAGCCGGCCCATACGTGCAACAGCAAAAATTGCTGCGTGGCTCTATCACCGTTAAGTTGCCGTCAAAATCTCCCAAGGACTGCACAATGTGACCCATCAACATATTGTGAAGCAGTGTACTATGAAGGATAATTGTACAATGTAACTTCAGGCTCAGAAGGGCTAGAACTCAGAGCCAGTTAAAAAAAATACAGTGATAATGCATACAAAGATACTTATTTGATTTTATAATAACTATAAAAAAATGTTTTTTTTGAATTTTATTTTATTTTATACGAAGTATATTATATATAGAAGTATAGTATAATCTTTGAATGCATAATACCACAGAATAAATAATAGTACAAAAACTTATTATACTAAAGGAGCGTCTGATATATTCTTAATGTAATAAAAATAATACTTTGGAAGCGTGGTGACTAAATACCGTCTTTTAAGGACAAAGCATCCATCTTGGAATCTTGAATAGTTTCAAGTTGCTGACGAAACTTAGAGGTGATCTTCCGACGCTGGTAGTCCGCCTCGATCTGCTGCTTGGTGCGTGGAATACGGAAACGGAAACAGCAGCAGAGCATTACAACTGTAGTTAGAAATTAGAAATAAATATTTAATGGTATTTATATAATTAGTAGTATAGTTGTAGCACGAATGGGTCGGCTCGACCAGGGAAGGACCACGCTCTCACAGAATACCAGCGTAAAATAGCAGCTTAACACTGCTGTGTTTCGTATGGTGAGTGTAGAGAACCGGAGACCCTTTTTTTTGGAAAAGAGGCATTCCAGCTTAGTCCTCACGGATGACAACGCATCTGCGTTTTGATTCGCAAACGAGGACAGATGTAGATGTCTATGGGCCACAGCAACCACTTACCATCAGGTGGACTGTGCGCTCGTTTGTCAGCCTATCCTATAAAAATAATTCGAATAAAACAGGATCAAATCTAGGTACATGAATGATTTGTCGAATCGCTACTATTTGCCGGCAGATTGCCTGTAACTTACAAAAACTATTAGTTGAAACACGCTTGTCCGAATTCTGCCTTACTTTAATTTAATTTTTTTTAAAGATTTTTAATATCTAATGGTAGTTATTAATTTTATTTTCCTGGTAAAATTTCATTTTTCTTACTATTAACGCATGAACGAGCATAGGAATCTGCGTGAAGAATTCTTGATATATGAAAATTACTCTGTGGTGAAGAATAAAAAACAATACTCACTCAAAGACGTTATTCCACCCAAACAAAGAAACAGAATTTGCCAAACTCTTAATTCACCAATAACGGTCCTTTCAAGCCATTCTGGCTCCGCAGAATTTTTGATAGCATCCATTAGTGGATCCATTTTAATTTGTTATAAAAACAATCGAGATGCAACAAGTAACGCGTCCACAAAACACTTCAGTTAAAGCGAAAACTAATTGTCCCAATTTCAAGGAGTGGTTAATAGCCGCACCTATGCTATCACCCTCGGCACACCCTTAGTTTTCATTTGTAGTCGTGCTATTGACATGTACTATTGATTCATATCCCATTGCATTAAAATAAAACTCATTCTTCTGTATAACTAATAGCTTAAAAGCATGTTATATTCTTTTATGAATATGAAATTTAAAAAAAACAGGATTTAATTGTGTATTTTGAATCTCCCGCACACGCGCGCGCTATAGTTTCGGGTTTCTATATATAAAAAATAAAACATTATATAATATGTAGAAGACATTATTTTTCAATTGTTTTAAAAAAGCTATATTTAATGTAAAGGTTTAAAATATAATGATTTTGTATATACTCATAAAAGCTTAAAGTAAAAGATGTTAGAGTAAAAATAATTATTAGTGTTAATAAAGTGATGATTGCTTTTTCAATGTAATGTTTCTTGTTTTTTTTTTATCATAATAAAATATAATAATATGCATTTAAAGTGCTTATTAAATAAAATAAAATTATTTTTGTGTGACTACACACTTGTCCAAAAATGTTTTGAAAAATGACAACATATTAATTCGATCGTTTTTCTCTTTCATTTGAAGACTGTTTCATCTTCCCGCAGAAAATAGGGTGTCGAATCTGTCCTATAACCTCCGATATATTTATTACTATTTAAAGATTGAAGATGTATCTTTTATGATAATTGTGATTTAATTTGTGTAAAGGTTGTTCTAAGTGATGTTGTGTAAGATCTACCGTATTCCTGCGGTCATTTTGTAGCATTTTAAAAATTAAACATGGCCTCGAACCGAGGAATTCAGATTGGATCCGCGTGGTTTCAACGGAAGCTGAACTTAAGGCCGCAACATCGGGGCGTACACCTTGTTACTGAGGAAATCCTCAAGCAGGTGCCTGAACTCTCACAGTTCGCGGTCGGTCTGTGCCATATTCAAAGTGAGTACTACTTCATAAGACGGCAAACTTGCCGCCGACGATCTGCATCCCATTCCTTCCACTGCTTATTTCCTTTTAAAGTTAAATATTGTGCCAATATTCAATAAGTAACGTTTATTTATCTTTTAATGACAATAATAACATGACCATTTGCTCTCCCATATCATTATCGTCCTGTCATTACAGTAATGCATACTTCGGCAAGTCTTGCACTCAACGAAAGTTGGGACCCTGATGTCAGAGACGATATGGAAATGATGCTTAACAAAATAGTCCCAGAAGGCTTGCCTTATCGCCACTCATGTGAAGGCCCTGATGATATGGTAAGATCGCAACTCTTATTTTAGTAATACCAGTGTTGTTCTAAATTCAAATTTGACTATTTAATGTCTAACCTGAAATATTTATTATTTGCATATTGTGTGAATGTTTATCAACACAAATTATTAAGTCTTACTTTAGTAATTTAAATGCACATTATAAATAATTGATTGTATTTTATGATTGATTTATATTTATATATTATGAAGTTTGTAATTATTTATACAAATACATTATAAATAATTACCTGTTTCTAAATGTCAAAGGAATTTTTTAATGTGATTAACATTTAGTACTTTGGAGATATTAATGTTTTGTTGATTTTTTAAACAAGTGTACTTCCAAAGATCTCACATATAAATTTCAAGCTGCTCCAATATTAATTGAAGTTCGTTTATTTCATTTATTTAATAAAATCATACTATTTCATTTCAGTAAATTAATGTTTGTGGTAAATAATACAATAACTATTTATGTATGGTTATTTAATGAAATTCTATAATTGACATTATTTCATATTTACATGACCTGAAATTGTACATATTACGCTAATTCATGGCAGGGATTTAGCTATGTATGTGTCTGCTGCATCAATGATACAGGAACCTCAAGCTAGAGGGGCCCTTGTATACTTTTGTCCAGTTAGATTTTTTCTAAAAAAGGGATCTATAAATATTTTTAAACAGGCCAGCTAGTGCTGCTCCTAACTTATGTCAGTAATCAATTATTACTGTGTTATTTTTCAATTACTGTTAAAATGTCAGTCATCCTGTTGTTGTGCAGTTTTGCATGCAATGATGCATGATAATGATAATGACTAGTGTGTAATGTTATATTAACCTATTCACTTAGTCATAATGTTAATAACTTTTTAATCTATAAAACAACACACAAACTTTAAGAAAGTGTTCCTTGTCATTGCCATCATTGTCTATTCTAAAATAAACCATAAATTTACTCAAATCACCCATAATTTACACAAACATAATTTTCATAACAGTGAAAACTATAAGCTTCATCATAAGTGCTTTAAATTGTAGCACTATTATTATCAAAATACAATATGTTTGAATTTAGATTAGAAACTAAGTGATAATTGCTTGTGCTGTGTGGCATCATCAAACTTGATTTTTTACCAAAAGTTATACAGTGGAATCTTGATTACTCGAATTTCAAGGTTAGTGAATTTTCAACTTACTAAAAATTTAGAGATCTTTTCCCAATCGTAAACAAACATAAGTGTGATGTGGTGTTACTTAGAAAGTTTACTAAATGTATTCATTTATTGCAACTGTACATGGTAGGCTTGACTGGGGAAGTACCACGCTCTCACAGAATACCAGCATAAAATAGCAGCTTAATGCTGCTGTGTTTCGTATGGTGAGTGTAGAGAACCGGAGACCCTTTTTACTGAAAAAGAGGCAATCCATCTTAGTCCTCACGGGTAACAACGTATCTGCATTTTGATTCTTTATTGAGGATAGATGTAGATGTCTATGGGCCATTACCATCAAGTGGACTGTGTGCTTGTTTGTCATCCTACTTCTAGAAAAAAAAAAAAGAGAACTGGAGACCCTTTTTACTGGAATAGAGGCATTCCATCTTAGTCCTCACGGCTGACAATGCTATCGACATTTTAATTCACAAACGAGGATAGATGTAGATTTCTATGGCCCACAGTAACCACTTACCATCAGGTGGACTGGGTGCACACTAGTCATCCATATCTTATTAAAAAAAACACAAGAAGCTACAAACATTCCTTTTGAATTTTATTGCTATGAGTTTAGGATTTTCCAAGTAAGACGTCATTATATTTTACTAACTTCAACTTGAGGAGTCTGCTTTTCGAAATTGGAGTTATAGAGCATAAATATGTATTATCAATACCTTGCAGGGAAATAATATTTTGTCCGAGTTACAAAGTCTAAATAATGCAAGATACTGCATATTTAAGGATTCAGCGGAAGAGAATGGCAATTTTTTTATCTTAATGAGTATTACGACTTAACGAGATTTGAGTTATCGAGATTCCACTGTATTATATGGTAGATATTTTAAATAACATATTTTATGATAGTATTTTCATTTATCAATCCATTGGCTAAACACGATAATTACAGTAAAACTTACTTAAGACGATTTTGAAGGGACCCAGCCAAAATTGTGATTTAAACGGGAAAGTATATTATGGGGGATAGGGAAAATAAAACATATCCTTTACAAATTTTGTGTAGGTATTGAATTATAGGTATATTTATAAATTTGTTAGATAGGTATAATATTATATAATAGGTAATTATTATTTATAATAATATTACTTAAAGTATTCTCTTATTTTGGTTTGACACAGACATTTTGATGCATTAGTAATGACAAGGCTTTCAATATAACTTAACTTTTACAGTGCGTCTTCACTTTCCCCGAAAAAAGATAGCGCCTTAAATCATTTACTGTTGATAATGCCTCCCGTTTGACAAAATCGGAATTGACTCTCCTTCATCTTCATCAATTTGGGGCTCGTTTTGGGTGTTATTCACATCTTCAGTAAGATCTTCGATTGAATGGGTTTCGTAGGGTGCAAAATCGTCATCAATGGAAGAATATCCAGGAAATCAATGCAATATCGCGGTTTCTTCTTCCGTTATTTCGGAAACCTGCTTTCTTGAAATAATTTTGTATGGTTTCAGGCTTAATTGCTTGCCATGCCGCTGCAATGTTTATGATCGCACAGTCAAGGGTCGTTTGCTGTCAGGGTCTTCCATTTCTTTAAGATAGCGATGTATCAATCGTGTTCTGTAGCCTTGTAACCCTTATAATGCTCTGATCCATTGGTTGCGACTTGCTTGTCGCATTCGGAGGTAAGAAAACAAGCTTGATGTTCTTTAGCTTAATATATTTAGGGTGAACTTAGTTAACTAAAGTGTGTGCATACATGCGGGGGAGGGATCAGCAAGGCGGTAAGTGAGCGTGCTCGGCAACTCAGCTCGGATGACGAATCGTATTAAGCATGTTGAAAATGTATGGAAACATGCCTCAAGTTGTAGGGACTAATATAAAACGGTGAAATTATGCAAAAAATCGTATTTAACGTGATCGTATTAAGTGAGTTTTACTGTATATACATTGGATAGCAATGTTGATTTATTATTATTAGTGTATTAAAGTTAATTTATTAATTGTTTATTTAATACATAAAAAAAATATAAAAATGTACTTGCTAATGATTTGCAGTGTTTGATTTGATTTTTTTTTATACAGCCAGCACATGTGAAAGCATGTTTCTTAGGCTCATCCCTCACTATACCAATCACAGATGGAAAGTTGAATCTTGGTACATGGCAAGGAGTATGGCTGTGTGAACATCGGAATCATGCTGGCAGTCGAAAGGTAAATTAATTGTTAATGTGTTAATATAATATATTATTTTTATTTTTTTAAGAAAATACTAAATACACTTTATTTATTGGTATTACTAATATTCCTATTTGCCATACCAGGTAAGCTTAAAATCCTTGTGGTTCACAACAGTATGGCAGATTTGAAACTAAATTTTTGAGTGGCTGTTGCACCCTATCTTATATTATACTACCTATATTTCAAGCATAATAAAAGATATATATAATATTAAATATAGTTTTTGACCATGTGATGTAGTGGTCTGGTACCTTAGTACTTTAGGGACTTTGAATTTGAATCTTCGAGATTGACAGAGCCAAAATCAGCTTGTAAAATTTTTTTACTCATTTGTTGCCAGGAGGAATGGAATTACGAGTTTTTTTTAATACTATAAGGGTGGCAAATGAGCACAAGGTCCACTGATGCTTACATCGATAAAAATATAAATACATTGTCACCCTTGAGGACTAAAATGCAGACTTTTTTACTTGTAACAAGCCTTTCTTATTCTCCACACTCACCATTTGAAACACAACATCATTAAGCTGGTATTCTGTGAAAGCTTGGGCCTGCCCGGGTCAAGCCAACCCATTCATACTGAAACCATAATATAGCTACAGTGTGGCTCTACCACTTTAAATGTGTGTGATGTATTTATCGTTACATAATATGTTACCATGGCCTGCAGGTTGTGGTAACGCTGTCAGGGTGCCCAAGAGACTCGCCGCTGTCGCCGGTATCCGCCGCTTCATGCTCCAGTTAGGAGCGGGGGGGGGGCGCGACCCCCCACACGCACTCTCACTCGCGCCCCTCCTCCAAGAGTACGCGGAGGTAAACCCCGCGACCACACCTTTTATATCCCATACATAACCTAGACGTTAGTCCTTACTCTTATCTTCAAGTGACAATATGTACATAAGATATAATAATTTGGAACGCTTTGCATGGCAGTTTGCTTGAGCTTTAATCAAAACGAGCTTTAAAAATTATCAGGATTTATTCAATGTAACAATATTTGTTATGATCTAATGCATTAATATACCTTAACAAAGACTAGCTGGTCATTCAAATATGGCCTGGAGGGGCATTTTATTATGCCTCAACATTCAGGAACATAGTCCATGCTGTTACGACTATCATAGTTCTCTTATTTGAACTCATTGCCAAATTGCCATGCAATGTATAAAGCCCTATCAATGTTATGTTCAGTTAAATTTAACTGAGCTGGTTGAATTTGTACATAAATATTATGTGCGACAATTTTAAAGTACCCATTAAAAAAGTAAGTGTTGTTTTGTTATCGCAACTTGTCAATATGTACATAGACCACGCATGGACATTGTAACATTCAGCTTAGTAGGTTCAGTTGTTGACCAGGTTGATGTGATACCCTGTTTAAACAAACTAAGTGCTTTGTTAGCATAAATTGAATGAATTAAAGGTAGAGTGAATTTGTTTCTATGAATTGTCTATTTTTCACAACTGCACTTGTTTAAATATTTCCAAAGTAACACACTGGGAGACACATATGTTTTCTATCATAACACCAAGTTTATATTTTTTATTACAAACACTGAATTTACTATACCACCTTTGTACCTAATTGCACTGGTTAACAGTTCATGTAAGTTTTGAAATGCATATAGGTTATAATATTAAGTATGTTGTACATTTACGATATCACTCTACTCTTTCCGTATTAGATTAGTTTTTATTAACATTTAATACATGAAACATGTCCATAGCTTTAAATGTGTCACACCCGTTGTATCAATGGGTCCTTTGTGAGACGACAAAAAGCAAAATTTGGTACCACTAGTAGGTAGTTATATCATTACTATTAAGGTCATGTAAGTGCCTCAAATTTATGGGGTGATCATATGTTAATTTGCAGGCATGTTTCAGGCTTTGCATGTCACACATTGCCATCAGAGTATGGATTTTTTGAAGTTCACCGTTATGGTAGTACAATTATTAATTTATTCAATCGATAACATTTTCTTAATTATGGCCACATTATGCAGCATAAATCCTAAATAAGTTCAAATTTGCGTTGTGTTAAAGGCGTGTATTTATAGTTATATATGTCTTCCTGTTTAAGATCCATCACATAAGATCAGAATTAACATAATTTTGGAGAAAAGGTAACAGGTTTGTGAACGGAATTAGGGTACGGCATCACCTTACGTTTGGCCACAACTGTATAACTTAGCCTGTAATGATTTAACCTTAGAAAGCTTCAATAATCCGAATCTTTGCCGACTTAGCGGTATATACATAGATGTTAATATAGAAATGTAAAAGGGAGTAACTGATAGCATGTTATTTTATATGAATCATAAATTAGATCAAGACTAATATAAAGTCTTAAATAAAAAATTCAGGGTATACTGAGCAAAACTATCCATGTTTTGTAAAACGATTTGCCACAAACACCATGTGTAATGTGTGGATGTTTCAAACTTTATTTTGAAACTTATCAACTCATTATATTTCATTTTTATAAATAAGTTCAGGAATTTTAAATTGAAATCCCAATAACACTGCATTAAGGTATAGAAAGAATTCAAATGAATTCAGCTTTAAAAATAGTAAACTCTTGGGGATTGTATTTTGCACAATGTAACTGAAGAATTAGTTAGGTTGTAATAAATTATAAATAGTAGATTTTATGGGTTAGGTACATTTAAGCTATGCTGGCTGTGGAGGTATGAGTCCATCTTTCTACTGTCTGTACTGGGCTTAATGCATAAACGCACAACAGGGGCTAGCCGCCGGTCAGCATTACAACAATGTTGTCACAGTCTTAATTGACATTGTTTTGATACCACATTGTACAAAGAATAGATGTCACAGATATTATGATCAGTTTGTCACATAGACAACTATAAACATAATCCGCATAAAAAGCTTTCGGAAAATCACTATATTGGATTCATTTTTGCATAATTATGTGTAATAGTTTGCATATTATCTACATATTATGCTTATCGCGTCAGATTTGTAATAATTAAGCACAAATTGTTGATTGATTTATCACTTAGATTTCCTTGGTAATAATCACATTTCTCTTTTGAATAGAATTTTGGGAGTGGATTTAGATGGGTTAATAAGTGCTTTTTAATATTAATAAGGTTTGTATATATTCTTTTGCATTGATATAGTATACATTTAATAATATCTGTGTACATAATAGTAATTCATATGTAAAAAAAATCGAGTGCTATTTGTGTGTGGGTGTTAGGCATGCCACTGCCATTACCAATTTGCCTCTTTACATTTATTGGATACAAAGTTATTTGGCATGTTGTTGTCAATTTTATGGGTTTGTATTAAAAGTCATCATGTAAGTATATATTATCTAGGTAAAATATAGTGAAATAGTAAGTTTTCCTAAGTGAAGTGACATTAGCGACTGGTTCGCTTAGGTTTATGTTACATTCCTTTTTATACATATTAAAGCAATCTCCATACATTCCGGTGCAATGTTTGATTTGTTAAAGCACTTAAGTTAGTATGTGAATATTTGAACGTTAACCCATTTTAGGCTGTTTTATTACAACGAATGTGTTTAGAAATTTACCTTTAAGTGAATTTTAAATGAAATACTTTGTTATTAGATGTTGTACAACCTTAACCTATGTCCAATCGAACTATTTTTGACAATTACTATGTGGAGACATTCATTGTTTTTATTTTAAAGCAAAATATAAAACAAAATAATTTGTATTAGTAGAAGTATCTGCAGTTTAAACATGTTTTATGATATATACTTAGTTATTGCAGTGTCAAACTGAGGTCAAAGGGGTGTTAAACACCTGATAATAACAGTCATATTAACTTTTTTTTCTGTAAGTAAGGCCTTTTATGTATTTATGTTTTGTGTTACCACATGTTTTTTTTTTAAATAATTTCTACGTTAATTTATTTAAGTACGTGCCACGGAGCAAATACAAAGAGGAGGTGTTGTAATTAGATTTCACTATATAACAACGCGTGACAATTTGCGGGGTGAGGGGGTGTTAAGTCGGAGCCCACTTAACTAATTCCATCTACCGATAAATAGGAAAACCACTCGCATCGTTCCATATCGATGTTGCAATGTAGTTTAGCTACCTTGACGATAGATGGCGGCCCTTTCAAAAAATGATTGTAAAAACTATAAAAATCATATTTTGGCGATTAAATATTCTTTAGGACTGAATGCAAAACAAATTTCAGCACCTTTGTATGATTATTTTACCAATACTGAGCTCTACGTACCTTTATATTTTTAATTCCCATGCACAAAGTGTCGCCATCTAGTGTCGAATATATTTAATTATATTTGAAAGCCGACGCATAGATTTTTAGAACAATTTTAATAAATTAGATATAAAATTACAAATAAAATATGATGCTATCCATAGCATCAGAGCGTCTATCTGAGTAGTTTTTACTCGATAAAACACAACACTTCATCCTTTTCGTTTTAATACTACGAAAATACACCTATTTGCTACTTTCGACACATTAGCGCACAGGACGAACGCTGACAGTATACTAAAGCCACGCCCACTGTGATGACGTCAGGACCTAGTTACAATCACAATGCACAGTTACTTAGGCCGCTCCTCTTTGTATTTGCTCCGTGGTACCTACTAATCGAAACAGAATATTATGTAGTAATCATTGCTTAAACTTAACAGTTTTATAGTTTTGTTTAATATACTATGAAACAGTGCAGTTGCGGAGTTATTCCCACCAAAGTTATACAATCGCACTGCAAATGATGGAATTTCGATGGGCGCCATGTTTTTTAGGTAGAAAAGCAATAAAAATAAAATATGTTTATAATATGTAATTTTTGGAATAAATCAATAAAAAAATTAGGTTTTATCGGCGGTCAAATGAAATTCCGTTGAAATTTGTTGTTCGTTTTGTTTTATGGATTAAGCTTGGTAACTAGATACTTTTTTGTGGCGAATGGATGCTGATTGCCTAATAAAATTTTCCTCGAAAATTTAATGTAGAATTGTTTGTATTTATCACTAATTTAAAATTTGTATAATATTAAAATATTTTTTTAATAACTCAAGAATTACTTTATTTTTCCGTAATTAATGTCATCTATCATGGCATCTCAAAAACCTGTTGTTTATTCATGAATATTATACACAAACTTCGAAGAAGACTGTAGGTGGTGGAAAAGAGACTTAAGTTTGTTTTTAGGTTTAGGCGTAATTTTGTGGCTCAGAAATATTATGGATTATATAAAAATTGTTAAACGTGAATTTAGTAGCATTCTTTTTGGAGAACAATTACACAAATAGCTAAATCATGTTATATAACAATTTTTGTTTTCACGATTTGAAAATTATTATAAATTAAATTAAAGGTTTGTAAGGGCACAGACTTTGAATTAGATTAGTTTGTCGGAATAGGTGAGTTTATTTATTAATATTGCACATAGGAAATTGAGGTTGTAAACAGGTTTTAATAAAATTAAAAATGAGACAAATAATTTTCCTGTATAATTTTAAGATCAATAAAATTATAATTGTATGATTATATGTACAGTTCAATTCACGATTTCTAACAGTCAACAGAATCCTTGTCAGTTTGTATATTTGTTGATTTTGTGCGCTTACTTGTGACATTTGGATATTTGTCACAGTAAATTTAATTGTAACATAACTTGTACAATATAAATATTATAGAACCACAATTATGAAAGAGATTAAATATTTGCAAAAGTTATTTAAAGACTTTTATTTTTGACAAATAAAACATTTTCTAAATCAGTCAAATTACAATCATGTTAATATCTAGTTAGTTTAGAGCTTATGTAATATTTATTATTAGATCTACATTATTTGGTACAAATTTAATTTATTTTCACTGTGTTGATTTCTCGTCGTTGTCGATGTTGTGGGGACCTGCGCCGCCATCTAAAATTGAAAAGTTCAATGTTTTACTAAAAATTTTAATTCAAAAGTGAGTATATACCTTGATCTGCACTTGATTGAACCGAAAATATTATAATTAACACAAAGGTAGCAATTTGAAAAGATTTGGCAAGTTTTCTGTATTTTATGCTAACAGATATAATTGACATTTGCTGATTCAGATTACAATGACGAGTTCGATACACTATAATATCATTTTTATTACTATTGTTCTTTTTTAAATAATGAGTTTACACTTACTGTCAAGTTGTGATTGTACAGTTTTCAGATTAGATTTTGCTTTGTCCAATGCGTCGCCAAGACCAGTCTTAATCTGGCTGAACTCCTGTGTCACAAGAGACAACCTTCCTAGTAAATAATTCAAATTATCGTCCACTTCAGTCATACGTGTCGTAATCAAACCCACCTGGGAAGAGAAGCGATCAAAATAATAAATTCGGCTAAGACCTTATTCTGTAAACATAAAGGTTCATTTTGCGACTTACTTTATCATTCATGCTTTCTAGAGTAGCCGCGCTGCTATTAACGTATTGCTCAGTTTGTCCCTGCAAGTATGTGAAATAAGTTACTATTTTGAGCGACAGGGTTGTTACTTAAATTTAAATATAGACTAGAAATTATGTTATCGGTAATGCAATATGAAAAAAAAAGCTACTTTACATTCGTTAACATGTATAGTACCAAGTCGTGGCAATCTCACTAAATGTAATGAAATTCCATTTAGCCAAATGGCTACTATTCATGACACTTTCTATTACAGTAATGAATGAATGTTTTTTGATAAGGGTGTTTGTATTATAAAGGTGCATGTAGGTTTTTAAATTACATGCTTTGAAATTTCACCATAAATTTTCACCATAAATTTTCACCTTGTTTTAAAACTAAATAATTACTTTTGACCCCCCGCCAAAAAAGGGGGGTGTTATATGTTTAACGTGTGTGTAACTGTGTGTCTGTCTGTGACATCGTAGCTCCCAAACGGATGAACCGGTTTAGATTTAGTTTTTTTTTGTCTGAAAGGTGATTTGATCGAGTGTTCTTAGCCCACGAAGAAAATCTCAGACGTTTGAAGATCATCAGCTCTTATTGTTTCGTTTTTTTTAAATTTTCAATTTAAGTTATTGTTAACGTCTAGGTTATGCGGTTTAACAAATATTTTGCAATATTCGTTATTTAATAAATAGAGTCGTGGTAACTCAGGAGCTAAGCGTTAGCAATTTTACAGTAGGGCTTTAAATAGTTGATTGTAATTTTAAGTGCTGATGACGATCTCGGTAATGCTGGAAAACATCAGAAACAGAAACAGAAACTTTTTTTATTCAATATAGATTATAAATAATACTTATTGAAAGTCACTCTTTTGTTTAATTACCACTGGTTCGAAAAAAAACCTCTGTCCTGGGAAGAACCAGCAAGAAACCCAGCGGGACTTTTTTTTAAAATAACAGTTGCAGCAGCATCGTAAGAAAACATTTCTGAGAAAAATTCGTTGGTGAATTAAGGCAGTGCGGTGAACACTTCTTTGCTGTAAAAACCCTCTTAGCATTGGGAGGAGTCTTGTACCCAGCAGCGGGACATTTATAGTATTTTTTTTATATTTATTTAATATTTAAACAATGCGCATTATGAACTAACCGTAAGCTTGTCGAGCGATGCTTTGCTGGCAGTTAGCTGCTGGTACATAATGCCGATCTGGCGCCAAACTTGTGTCATCTCAGACTCAATCTTGCCAGTCAAAGCCACCATCGCGCCCATTTGGCTGCTCACTATCGACGACTCCGTCTCATTGATCCTATCGATGTATAATATCTTGAGTAAATTATTTAATATTTTTTATATTTAATATTTTGACAAGTGTCAATCGCGTAGAACAGTTGTTATAATAACAGGATATTACACTCGTGGCGGCGCTGTCGTCGCGCCACGAGCTAAAATACATCGAAGCCTAAATCAAAGTTCCGAAGTAAAAACAGTAAAATAGCTCCGATCTACAACTAGGAGCGATGGCCGCTCCCCGGGCAAAACATCTTGCCCGGCGGGAGATTTCCCCTTTTCCTTCCACGGCCACACACCAGAAACAATTTGTTGGTTTCGGTTCTGGGTGTGTAAGAGTGGAAAACTATCCAAGTGTAGCGCTTGTGTGTGACAAAGCTGCCGCCACGAAAGTTTATTCCCGGGTAGACACATTTTTATTTCGTCAGGTTACCCTTTCGTCAAATAACATATTTATCAAGGCTAATAATAAAATAATAAATAAAATACAGGAACATCACACAAAACTCTAAAATAATTTAAAAAAAACATTAGTGTTAGTGAATGAAGTAATAGACCGATCCTAGTATAGCCATCAAGCAACGGAAAATAAACGTTCCCAAGTGCCTTGTTTTATCTTGTTTTATGACCGACAATTTAGGAAAGTACATGTCTAGCCGTAGACACTTGATGTAATGATCTGATCTGATCAATGTTTAATGATAATGATGTAACGACATCGTTTGATATATTTTTATCAAACAATAGGATTCATTTAACTTTTTCAACAACTAACTGATATTATAAAAGATGTTGGGTTGTGCCTATCCAATCAATAAATACCTACAAAAATAGTTTATTTTTTTATTTCATTTTAAACTCAGATCAGCGATTTTAATAAATCAACAAGATTCATTTAACATTCTCTTTTTTTCTTCTAATCACATTTAAATAATGTGATGATAGCGGTGCCAAAGGATCTATCACTCCAATAACTCGTGTGGGAGGGTGTAAGAGGCGACTATGGCAAATTAAAAAGATCGCATGGCCCTAAAAGTGGTGGTGTGATCACCTTTTAACCAGGCCTTAAATTGACAATGAAGAGCAGCGTACAAGGTGTGAGAATGTACGATCGATAAACTTCCTACGGGAATTATGGCAAATATCACCTGCTATAGCAGAGGTTTATCTTTAACGTGATCACGAAAATTATGATAGTTATGAGCGTTAAACTATTTTTCCCAAAGTGCAGAAAACATTTAGAGCCATGAATAACATAAAAATGGATCGATTTTCGTGAATTTTATTTCTGTATACAAACACTGACATGAATTGCCTATTAATACCAAGCGGAGAATTTATATGTTATTGTTATCAATTTTAAATCGAAGTATTTATTAGTTTTAATTTAAAATGACAGGAGCTGTTGTGATTTTAAGGGGAAACGTCATGACCGTCATCTGTAGACGATTGAAGAATTTAGGTAATAAACGCATGTGGGTGGAATTTATCAATAAATATCAATTTGGTTACATGCAGAATAGAAATGAGCAAAAATATTAAGGTCATTGTCGATTGTTGCTTGTAAAAATGCTAAATTAATTATTACTATTATTTAATACAATTGAGAATGGAGTACACAGTCCACCTCTTGGATGGTATAACCCCTAAATACCTACATCTATCTTCGATTAAGAATTAAAGTGCAAGTGTAGGCGGTTATCACCCCTGCGGCTTAAGATGGAATGCCTCGTTACTAGTAAGTCTCAGGGTCTCGTCACTCAACATACAAAACAAGAAACTATTATGTAATAATACTGCTTTTTATGCTTGTAGTCTATGATATCTCTATGAGTCCTTTCCAGTTGTAGATGACTCATTGGCGCTGCAGTTTTAATGCAGTTGCAGAGACAATTAGTTAATGATGCAGCACGAATGGGAAGACGGCGTACAAAATAAAAACCTTTATAAATATGGTGTAATTTTATTTTGTTTATTTAAACATTGCGTTTTTATTATAACCAAACAACTCTTTATGTATTAATTTTGACTATGTGTAACAATTATGCTATCAAGTAATTTTTATTAATGATATTCGAAAGATTTTTTTAGTGGTAGAGCCATGCTGCAGCTATATTAGTAGTATAGTTGTAGCACAAATGGGTCCGGGCAAGGACCACGCTCTTACAGAATACCAGCGTAAAATAACAACTTAACACTGCTGTGTTTCGTATGGTGAGTGTGGACCCTTTTATACTGGAAAAGAGACATTCCATTTTAGTAATCACGGGTGACAATGCATCTGCATTTTGATTCTTTATTGAGGATAGATGTAGATGTCTATGGTTCACAGCAACCACTTACCATTAGGTGGACTGTGTGCTCGTTTGTCACCCTATCCTATATAAAAAAAAGATTTATTAATGGATCGCTACACCGCCAGTGTAAGAGTACTAAGACTAGTTGCTGTGTAGAGCCACGAATCAATATTTATTTTTAACATTTTATCTTCATATGGTAAATGAATAAAGTGAAAACTTTAACGAGATATTTAATTTTAATCCTTAGCTATAAAAAGTAATCTTGGACGTCATAATGATTTCTTATATTTACGCGAAGACTACGCATTAAATGAAACTAATTTTTACGGATTCTATCGCGCACCCGAAACGTCGGTAATTAAAAGTTAAATTAAACGCGGTAATTCCCATTAGTTTCATTTAATCTTGGGCATCATCATCATCAGAAAGCATAAGTTTATTAAGGCGTTCGAAAAAATAATTAAAAAAAAAAACACATTGGCGGCAACACTTATCTTATTGAGATCATGTTTGCAAACCGACAATTATTATCAATAGTAGGTATGTTACATCTGAAAAATATTAGGTACAAACCTGTCGACGAGCGTTTTATTCAAATGCAGGGTCTGGCCACGGACCAGATCCCTCATCTCCAGCAGTATCAGATGTATACCGTGGTCAATCCGCTTTTTGTTTGCGATCACGTTGTCGGCTGTTTGTAATATCACATGTTCATTCTTTGAGAGGGCTTGGACCTGTTAGTAAAAATTAAGATTAATAAAATCTAAGATTGTATTATTTTAAATAAGTAATTTGTAAAAATAAGCTGCTTTGAGGTGAACGCACATTTGTCAGCACAGTACGCGCAGCACGCACCGTACGCACCGTATTTTAGAATTCGTTGGGTATATGAAATCATATGAAACCTCGCACATATCACCCGCACTGTACGCGCCGTATTTTATAAAATGCGGTTCGAATATTGAAGGAGACATGCTGATTACATCGTATAATGCGGCGTGTTCGGTGCTCAGTGTTGCTTAAGGTTGCCAACTTAGTAGATTTTCCACTAAATCTGGTGGCTTCGACTACCCTTCTAGTGGAGAAATATTGTTTACAGTGGCTAGTGTTTTTTCTCGTGGTTCAGTAGAATTAAGTTTCAATTAGAGACAAGATGATTACTCTCCGCCTTTACAATTTTTACTTAATTTCAGAAGTATTTACTTTAATTGTGTAGGTGGCAACAATGAGTCATCAGACAAGACATGCGTAAGACGATCCACCCATTAAATGCAAATATCCGAAAAATTGTTTTATCATCCTCTAATAAGTCTTTAATCTATATATAACGTATAATATTCTCAATACAACTGCCTTTTTAAAACAATATTGTGATTTCAGAATCTTCTTTTTCTTCGAATTTTATTTTCTTCTTCCTCTGCCAATAAGCAGGATATTATAAAAAAATCCATAGCTATCCGAGCAACCGTACTGTCTCACACCAGTGGTTGGAAAAATCTGCAATAGTAGTTGGCAATATATTTGCGTACGACATGTACGGCGCTTGCGGCGCTTACGGTGCTGATAAATGTGCGTTCACCTTTGTGCAGAAATACAGATCTGCTTATTTGTCCCTTAAATCCACAATCGTTACCGTCACAACCAAACAAAAAGTCCACTGCTGCACTTAGGCCTCTCCTATAGATTGCCTCACGGGGGGGATATTTGCTATAATTATCGCGCTTGGCAGGCGGGGTTGGCAACCGCAGTCTTATTTTTAGTTACTATTAGAAGAAACTGGTGCCCATCTCCTGGTTTGTTCCCCTCTGTCGCGTCTTATGACACCCATGGGACGATATGGGGTTGTGGATACACCGCCACTGCACGGTCAAAATCCACAATTAATTTAATATTTGTATGACAAATTATATAGCGTCTGCGTTTATTAGAGCTCAGAGTACAAGACTAAAAATTAAAAGAAAAGGGAATGAAAGTGAACGCAAGTAAGACGAAAGTTATGGTTTTTGAAAGAGAAGAAATTAAAACGATATGTGAAATAAGAATAGAAGGGGAGTTGGTAGAGCAAGTAGATGAGTTTGTATATTTGGGATGTGTGTTTAGCAGGGATGGTAGATATGATAAGGATATAGAACGACGAGTGAATGCAGGAAATAGAGTGAATGGGGCTCTACACTCTATTGTGAAAAGTCAGAATGTGTCCAAAAAGGCACGTATGGCAATTCACAATGCTGTGTTAGTACCTACTTTAATGCATGGTAGTGAAAGTTGGGTGTGGCAGAAGAAGCACGAGAGTAGAATCAATGCTGTAGAAATGCGGTCATTAAGGAGTATGTTAGGGATGAATATGAATGACAGAGTGAGAAATTGTTTAATAAGAGAAGAGTGTGGTTTGCAAGATGATGTTGTGACCAGGATTAAGAAAGGAATGCTTCGGTGGTTTGGCCATGTAGAAAGAATGAATGAGGAAAGAGTGACAAAGCAAATTTATGTTGCAGAGGTGAACGGCATAGTCGGGAAGGCGATAAACTTTCGCCTAGGGCGACCCTAGGCGAAAGTTTATCGACCAAATTGGCGATATATTAAAAATGGGCCAAATCAAGAGTACCTTTAACCGACGAGCGTGTATGCGTAGGTATATGGATGTGGAGGAAGTGAGAGAGGTGTGTCAGGATCGTGCCAAATGGAAGTCCATAATCTCTGCCTACCCCTCTGGGTGACAGGCGTGAGTGTTTATGTATGTATGTATGTAGTACAAGACTACTGAGCCACGGGGCATCGGTACAGTATTTGTACAAAAGTATAAATTATTGATGTACTTATAACAAAAACACGATTTTTAACATTTTTGTCTGTCTATCTTTCTGTCTGTCTGTCTGTTTGTTCCGGCTAATCTCCGAAACGGCTGGTCCGATTTTGACCAGACTTTCACTGGCAGATAGCTGATGTTATAAGAAGTAACTAAGGCTACCTTTATTTTAGAAAAAGAATTAGGGTTCCGCGCAAAAAAATTAAAACCCATGAAATCCAATCGTCATAAATTAAGCACGGCCGAAATCGCGGGGAACAGCTAGTTTGTAATAAGAAACATGAGTCAAGAGACATAAGAACTAAAGTCGCTTATCTACCAATGATAGAATTTACAAAATGTATTAAGTAGCTTTAAACCACTTTATCTATGAGTATTGAAATTCATACAAACTTGGAAGTGTTTTATAATGATAGGCAATTGACACCTAAAACCAACTATCGCACTACTACTGCACTGCACTGATCGCGAGGTCCCGAATTTGAATCCCGGAACGGGCCAAAATCAGTTATTGGGGTATTTGAATTCAAGACATCATGATACTTCAGATCAGCGCCGTTTTGCGCGTTTATGACCATTATACCAACGTGTCAGTCGAGTTTAATTGTAAAACTGGGCAAAGCCAGCCTAAAAACCTAATCACAGCATTTGATGCACTGTTGCTTGTCGAAAGAAATACTTAGGTGTTAGCACTTTCTCTGTCCGATTTTCAAACACTATAATAAGACAATAGCTATAAACTATATGTAGTGCACGGGCCAACGAATGGATTAACCTTTTAAAAATAAAAAAAAGTAGGAACTGAATGTAAAATTTAACGTAAAGATGTGTTAGGTAAGTTTGTAATAACCTCTGTAAGCAATGTGCCGTAGCTGCTTGAGATGTCGTTGTATGCGCGCTCACTCATTGTGTTGCTCTGTGTCAGACTGTTCTGAATGTCTTCGTTGGTGGCCGCTAGGCGATCGCTCATTTCGCGAAGTTTGTTCGTTATTTTTGATACAGCTGTGGAAAAATAAAGTAATTTTTTTGACATAAATTTTATTTATATGATCATTATAGCAATAGAGGAGCAGGAGTACCTCAGCATTATGCTTAATAACCTCGACATCTCCCAACAGGTAGGGGGGGGGGGTTTAGTTGTTTGAGATGAACATAGACAAGGCAAAGATCGTGTCCAGCGTAATGCAGCGAAAATTTCCTATTAAGGTTCGAGGTCGGCTCAACCGGGGAAGGACCACGCTCTCACAGAGTACCAGCGTAAAATAAGCAGCTCAACGCTGCTGTGTTTCGTATGTCACACTTAAGGACTAAAATGTAATGCAGTTACCAGTAAACATCATCATTATACTACTATTTTACGTTGGTATTCTGTTAGAGAAGCGATAAAGGTGAAAGAAGCCTTGTAATCCGATCGTCAACCCACCAACTAACCGTGACGATTAACGCAAACCTACCCTACCACGATCCACGAGACAGACCCACATATACCAGTGAACTTTTACTGACGGTAATGATGATTCTGCGAGCGCAAGTTCCTTTCCGGGCGAGCCTCAAGCCGAATTCCTTTTCGTGTTATAATAGCGTGGCTACATAATCTATTGTGACTCTACATTTCATCATCATCATTACAGCCCTTCACAAGTCCACTGCTGAACATAGGCCTCCCCAAGGAATGCCACAAAGCACGGTCCTGAGCCACCTGCATCCATCGACTTTCTGCATGTATTACGAGTTCGTCACTCCATCTAGTGGGGGGTCGCCCTACACTTCGCCTACCGGTACGAGGCTGCCACTCAAGAACCTTTCTTCCCCATCGGTAGTCGGTTCTTCGAGCTATATGGCCGGCCCATTGCCACTTCAGCTTACTAATCCGTTGGGCTACGTCGGTTACTCTGGTTCTACTGCGGATATCCTCATTTCTAAGTTTATCACGCAGAGAACCCCGAGCATAGCCCTCTCCATAGCTCGCTGAGCGACCTTGAGCTTCCTCATACTGCCAGCAGTGAAGGACCACGTCTCAGATCCGTAAGTCATCACTGACAACACGCACTCGTTGTACAATTTCATTTTCAGGTTTTGCGGTATGTCTAACGAGAAGATGTGTCGTAGTTTCCCGAACGCTGCCCAGCTGAGTTGAATCCGTCGATTGACCTCTCGGTCGAAGTTGGACTTACCTAGTCTGACTATTTGTCCCAGGTAAACATACTCGTCAACAACTTCGAGCTTAGTGCTCCCAAAAACTACCGGCATAGGTGTGACATGGACGTTAAACATGATTTTTGTTTTGTCCATGTTCATCTTAAGACCTATCCGTTGGAAGACACTATTGAGGTCATTGAGCATAGTGCTTAGGTCCTCCAGCGATTCTGCAATAAGGACTATATCGTCGGCAAATCGAAGGTGAGTGATGTACTCGCCATTGATGTTAATACCGAATCCTTTCCAGTTTAGTAGCTTGAAAACGTCTTCCAATGCAGCGGTGAAGAGTTTCAGGGATATAACGTCTGTCTGTTCAGTTGCCTGTATGCTGTCAAATCTGTTGAAGACTGTAGCTTCATCTCCCGTCTAATTAACTCTACATTTGGTTAAACATAATTATCGGAATATAAAGTTTATAATATATTATAAAGTTAGATAAAGTTTACTCACAATACTCCTCTATTTCTGTAAGATTATGTTTGATACTTTCAATTCCCTCTAACGTAAGATTCAAAGCGAGCTGCGACTCTGAGCGCCGAGGAAGCTCCTTCCATGTGCTTTCAGCATCGGAGAGCAATTGTTGAATTTTCTTAATATCTGCTTCTTGGCGTTCCATCACTGATAATAAAAATAAGTGTTAATTTTATTACAATGGTAATACTTAGTTGCTTTAGATTAGCCTAAAAACGATTTTGTTGCAGTGATATCACAGATTAATTAATAGTTTACTAAAGTGATATTTCCTTGGGCGTGTTGAGCATATAATTTAAAATAGTTTCATAACTACATCACACTTATCAGCGTTTACTCTCATGTCAAAGATTGATCAAAACGGTATGATCTATCTGATTAGCTTTCCTTCTCTCATTCTTTTTTACATACATGAAGATTTTGAGAAAGATATATAATGTGATCATAAACTCAATTTTAATCTAATTCATAATGATTTTGAAATTAATTTCTTGTGTGTATAAAGTAAAAAAAAAAAAATTGACGACAGTAAATGTTAATTTGCTTTTGCTTAATTATAGTTTTATTTATATAATTTTAATACTAATTAAATTGATGTATTTTACTTTCAATTAAATAATAATACGGTCTATAAGTTAATAATTTATATATAGTGCTTGCTTGATTATTTTATTATACAGAGCCGGATTTAATCCTGTAGGTTACCTAGAGAATGCAAGACTCGAGGCCTCCTATTTATTTTTTAATGTTTATTCCAAACCTCGTAAAAACGTATTGATCACAGGCCGCGGAGCCATTAGTAGTTTCTTACTTTGCCTCCAGATTAATCCGGCTCTGATTTAAGGACATACCGGTAGTCATCTTGTTATGCCAGGCTTCATCAGCGAGAGCAACTTCGCTGAGCGGAACGAAGTCTGTGGGCACCTTGTTCACGGTCTCGTTATATTCGTTTAATTTCAGTTCGTATTTGTTCAACAGTTTCTCTGCCTCAGTGATGTGACGTCCGAAAGGGTTCACCTCGGTCACGATGCCCATGCACATGGTGTGCAAAGCTTCCTGCTCAAAAAAAAAATTGAGACATAAACAATTGCAAATACTATTTTTTTTTATTTATTTATTTGTGAATACAGGTAATGAGACAGAATAGATCTTAAAAAATAATGTTCGCTGCATTCAACCCGTAGGTGTACAAATATTATAGCTTCAATTATATCTAATACATTTCCACATTTAAATTATTTCATTATATTATTTATATCATATTTATATTAGAATATTCAACAATGATGTAATTATTAATTAGAATAGGATATGCACAGTAATATATAGTCTAATTGAATGTCAAAAAATTATATTTTATGCAATGTCATTATACTCGTAATATGCCTCCTGATGCGTCGCTTAAATATTCATCAATTGAGTAGTAGCATTTATCAATTAGAAATGTTTTAAATTCTTTTTTAAATTTTTGAATATTTTCCACTTCATGAAACATAGATGGAACCTTATTGTACATTTTAAATAGTATACCGAAAACACTTTTTCTAAGTAAAGCTGTCTTTGATGAAATTGTATGAATTTTATTTTTACGTCGATTGTACATTAGGTAAATTTGTCTACCATTTTTATACAAATGAAAAGTTTACTGTTGGAAGTAGAACACTCTTTCTGCCAATTTTTTTAATCTATTTCTGCGTTCAAGATGTGTATGTACTGGCACACACTGCTGTGTTCCGGTTTACTCTCAGTAAGAGAGCCAGGAATTTAAATATCTCTAGGCTGTGAGGTATTTCAAGTATTTAGGGGTGGCAATTCTTTTGTTTTTGTTTGAAGTTCAATGCAGTGTTGCATCTCGCCCATTAATTGTACAATGGACTGTTTCAAGATTTCAGGAACTGGAAACTATTCGTCATCCATTACTGAACCCGCCGTAGCTAAACTTTTCTTCTACTTATTACATTTTTTTAGACTGAATAAATTTTACATGGAAAAATCTGATCAGACAATAAATCAAATAATTAACTGACTCCCGTCCCCGCGATTTCTCTCAGAGATGTGAGATATTGTATTGTATTTCTTCATTTATTACCCTAATAATACTAAAAAATCACTTACCTTGCTCAAACTTTTCTTCAATACTTCAATCTCTTTCTGTATTAGGTCTAATTTTTGATCCGTGCTATCAAGTCTTTTATTTACGGAGTCCTCATTCGTGGTTAAATTGTTCTCTATGTCTGAAGTTGTGCTGATAGCTTTGATATTTTTAGTTACTGTGGCTGTGAGTGTTTGAATAGATTTCTTTATTTCATCAAGTGTTTCCTCAGTCTTTTTTCGCTGTTCTTTCTCTCTTTCCTCTTTCTGATATAAAAATACCCATTTTATTACAATTAATTTTCATGATAATACTATTATTACGGTAATATATTAAAATAATTATACCAATATGTTTGAAATCATACCTTAACAACAAACAAATTGTACTTATTTATATTTTATTTTTTTTTTAATTTTACCTTCTATATTATTTAGTGTCGGAATAGCTGGCTTACTAAAATTAGTAGATTACTGTACCCGAAACCCTGGTTCCGAATCTTAGCCGGAGTCAAATTTGTGCAGTTGATTCTCAAATCCATATTCAAGCCTCTCTGCAATCTTATTTCAATACCGCTACATCATGTACAGGTTCAAACAAGTGGTGTGTAACCAGTGCATTTAGTAACATGCACCGGTTGTACACACAATGGTGATTACCATTGGAATCGAGACGTCCTTCACTGTTGATCTTGGAAAAAATCAGGGCGCTCGATGGGTACAGGTGGTTCAGTACCGTGTTTTGTGGGAGACACGTGATCAGCACTGGACATGATTATGAGTATGCATGATAACGATATGATACTATTAATATTTACTTAAAAATATTTCTTCCTACATTATAAACCAAATGATCTCTAACTTGTATAATTCTACCGTATTAATTTCTCTTAAAGTTTTTTTTTTATTGATGCATAATATAATAATTACTTGTAAAAGTATCGTCTCAACATTAGACAATCTCTCATCAAGTCTCGATACGGTGCCTTTCATGGGTTCGAGCGCCCGATGCCTCTTCTCCAATCCAGCGACCATCTTTTTTAGTTGCTCCCCGAAATTCCTTTCGCGGAACTCGTGTCGCTCCAGCTTGTCTTCTGATACACGGAACATGTGAATAAGAGAAAGCATCGCGTCTCGGATGTCTTCCGTGCTGGAATAAAGTAAAACAAACATCAATCATAGCCCCCGTAGCTCGCAGGCTGAGCATGTAAGTCTACCAATTTAAAATGGAGAGAAGCGGATACTTCCCTTTATTATAACCTTTTCAGAAAGAAATGAGAGGAGTATGACGGCCGCTTTACTTTACTTTCCAATACTGCTCAAACATAAGATATAATTTGCTTTGTTATTGATGTATAATCGTTACTTATAATAAATTTTTTTTTCACAAAAACACATATATTCTATTTATTTATTTTTAAACGTAATTCTTATTAAAACTATAATAATAAAAAAAAAATTAAAACTAGAAACTTAATTATCATATAGTCCTACTCCCCGCGGTATCGTGCCAAGAACGCTGTCTGCGTTTCCCCGCTGAATGGCTATACTTAGCCTTTGAGCGAGAAAAGAACCAGCCCTCTTATCACCAGCAGCAACAACCAGCCGCGGATGGAGTTCCTTTAGGAACTTCACCGCACGTGGACCCCACGGACCGATAGTCTCTACAACAAATGGCACAAATATGTAGTCATCTCTCAGAGACTCATATTTGCGCCACTTACTCAGTTCAGCTGCCTCTGATTCCGCCCCGGCTCTAAACGAGGTACCCCTGAGATGAGAGGCCGCCAGAGTGTCTACGCAAGTAGCATCCCACACTAGGGCTTTACCTCTCTCCCAAGGGACCAATGTCTTACCGTCGGGGCTCCTGCCATCGTCTCTAAATATTCCACAAGGCTCTAAAACCGAGAGAATATTTATAGAGACAAGAGCCCTTCGGATGACATAGTTCAAAGAACTGTGTCGTGAAAACCTACCAGCGCTTTTCTTACATGAAAGTCCGTGGAGCCCAAACTTGTCGACGCTGTTACCAGAGGGCATAAATTAAGACCCTGAATCTCAGAAACTACTATGAGGATTTTCATTCGCTTTTTATAAATAGACCATTTATGAAGAAGGAATTTATGAATATTTTTTGGCAATTAAGAATATCAACTATCCCATATTGTCCCGTGGGTGGCGTAAGAGGCAACATTGAGAAACGAAACGGGACATGAATAATCTTAACAACTAAAAATAAAAAAAGAAACTGCCGTTGTCCACAGACGCCCGCAAAGCGCAGCAATCATGGCAAATATTCCCCATATGAGACAGTCTATGAAGAGGCCTATGTTCATTAGTGGACTTGATTGGTTGTTCTGTTGTTGTCAGGGAGATGTTTCAGTTTCCCTATGTTTCCTCTTACGACACCTACGGGGTGATATCAGCTAGTGGTTCACAATACTAGCTAAATGTGAATGTGTGTGTTAGCCAGTATCATTACTACATTGTGTGATTATTTTCGTATTTGCTCTTATGGTTGACTGCCTGTGTAGTGGTCGTATACGCGATTGAGGACATTCATTCATAGTTGATTTTGTATCTGTGACCGTTTGCGGTTGAAGTCGGTTGAAGCTTCAAAACACTATTACTTCTAGGCTGTTGTATCAGTGGACTTGCAGTAGTGTAGCTCGTTTCACTAGGTACGATGCATGATTTATTATTTGTTGTGATGATTCATATTGTAATCTCATTAGGAATGCTGGAAATCACGATCATATCGCAAACCGACACTATAAGGCAACAACTCTAAATACTTTTGACACCAGTAAATGTCTCGTATTCAATTGCGTAGGAAATATAGTGCTGCAATATGTAAACGTATTTTAGCGGCCAAACATAGGGGCTTCAAATTAGCATAGTTAAAGACGTAAGAACCTACATCCAGCAGCAAATAAGAAGAAATTGAATTAAGGAGCCCTCTTATTTAGTTTAATAACTCTTATAATAAAAAAAACTAAAACGAGAAACTTAATTATCATATTATAGTCCTACTCCCCGCGGTATCGTTCCAAGAACGCTGGCTGCGTTTCCCCGCTGAATGGCTATACTTAGCCTTTGAGCGAGAAAAGAACCAGCCCTCTTATCACCAGCAGCAACAACCAGCCGCGGGTGGAGTTTCTTTAGGAACTGCACCGCATGTGGACCCCACGGACCGATAGACTCTACAGCAAATGGCACAAATATGTAGTCATCTCTCAGAGACTCATATTTGCGCCACTTACTCAGTTCAGCTGCCTCTGATGCCGCCCCATCAATATAAAATAACTGTTAGTATTTTAGCTTTCAACTGATTGATACTTTATAATATTTTCTAAGTAGAGGAAGTTTTAGTATCGCTCTGTCAAGAGTTGTACTCACTGTATATATTTGTACATTTCTTTAATCAGTTTCATAAAGTCGGAGCTATGAACTTCTTGTGGTTACAGCTTTAAGGAGATTTTTTATTTATTCCTTATTTATGTTCCTTACCTTACTGAAATAAAAGCGGAATTAGCATCTATTATCAAGTCTCTACCAATATCAATCGGTCATATTTTTTTAATTCAAGTTTTTTTTTTTTCTATTTCTATCTCAAAGAATCTAATGAAATTCTTTTTAAAACAAGTAGTCAAACAGATCGAATATGATGCTACAAACTTCGAATAATGTGAGCTTTAATAAAGGTATAAGTACTAAAATTTTGTTTTCATTAAACGATCTCATATTTTAAAATTTTATACTTGATGTGGTTCGAAAGTACGTTTTGATACCTTAGTGTATAAATAAGCTTAACTTGTTTATAGATACTCTAAGTTTAAGAATATTTTAATTGAATATATTTTATATGTTTAATAAAACATTTAATTCCCTGAAGACTACGGTAGACTGCCTTGTTACCAGTAAAAAAGGTCTTCAGCCTTCTACTCATCTCATCCTACGATATACAGCAACATTAAGCTATAATTTTACGCTGACTAGGTTTTAAAAAGCTGGAAGAGGGTGATTAATAACTATTGTACGTTTTTTATATCTAATTTTTAACTATGATATCTAAATTTATTACACCCCGTTTATCAATAAAATTACAATTCTATATACCAGTGTGGGTTTCTAAGAATTTTACAATTTTAATGGTGATGAGATACACTCATGATTTCATGAAACTTGGAAACCCAATTATTAAGACGGTAAACAAATTGCGAACAAAAAGACAATTATAAGTTACTACATTATAATCTATTAACTGCTATCTAATTTTCCACTTCAAGTGCACTCGAATTCTCGATCGATCTAAATTATTTAAATGCACGTTACACACCACTTGTGCCTCGCCTGCTTTTCTTATTTTTGACAGTCATTATTTATAAGTTCTTTATAGGTATAAGAACAAATTCGTATGTAGAATTCGTAGTTACTGAGGTTACATAAAGCGTCACCTTTCTCCTGCTAACCTCATTGCTTAAAACTTAGGGACGTTATGTAACGTGCGTAATGCTTCTTTACGTGTCTATTGATTCATAATTACATATTGAAGAATTTACATGCGCGGACTTGTTGATATATTTATATAAGCAAGGGTTACGTTGTTATTTATAAACGAGCACAGAATCCCACTGTTAGTTAGTGGATGCTCAAGCGCGTAAATACCTTCTCTGTCGGTCTCTACCTTTCCTCTATTAGCAAAAGCTTTTAGTGTATAGACAGATGGCGAAATACGAGTATAATATAATAAATAAAACTAGCTGTTCCCCGCGACTTCGCCCGCGTGTTATTTGAAGTTTTCATTTTTTTTCGCGAAACCATAATTATTTTTCTTAAATAAAAGTAGCGTAAGTTATTCCTTGTGACATCAGCTATCTGCCAGTGAAAATTCCGTCAAAATTGGTCCAGCCGTTTCATAGATTAGCTGGAACAAACATACAGACAGACGGACAGACAGACAGACAAAAACTTTAAAAATTGTATTTTTGTTATTAGTACCGTATATACTTTCATATTCATTTAGTAAAAAGCTGTAATTTTGACATTACAAACAGACACTTCAATTTTATTTATTTGTATAGATAAGAATGTTTGAATGTTTCTTTTTAATCTGTACTTTGAAGCTTTTTGAAATGTGAGGTATCGTCATATTTGTACCATATATATACTGCCACGTCTGCAACATTGGTGTGAATACTATTGTTGCAGACGTGGCAGTGAGTTTATAATATCTCGCTCAAGTCACTATAATACAAACGCAATGATTTTTTAGCATGGTTTATATAATTACATATAAAACCAGAGATTGATAACATTAAGAGAATAAATACGGAATCAAAGGAACAATGTGCTTAATACCAAAATTATATATTATACCATGAAACTACGAGTAAATCTACTAGTTGCCCTATTTACACCTGAAAGTTTAAATGACGGTATTTCATATCTAAAATTTTAGATAAATACTTCGATGTTCAAAATATAATACTTAATGTTTGTGTTGTAATGCTTCGAATTTTTTACTTTTAGTCGTTAAAGATTATTGAAATCAGCATTTTAATGCATGCACACAGTCATAAGAAATCACATTAAAAGATCAACGATCTAGTGATTTGAATAATCCATCGGCATTTCTATTCATAGAATTCGGCTTTTCTAATTGAGAAGCTGGGAGAGGTGGATGCACGTATATTATCATGGTATCCATTAGCCGTTCAATAGAGATTTATTGCATTCTGTTAACTCATGATTTAGGGGGAGATAAAAGTAAAACTGTTTGTGCTTTTTTTGAAATTATTTATAAGTTACTCGACGGTAGTAACTTATAAATAATAAACAAATTCAGTAAAGTTATGAATCAGATGTTTCAGAGAAATATTTGTTTTCGTAGAATTTTTTTTGCCTCTGAAGTCATCATTATCATTACAGCCCTTCACAAGTCCACTGCTGAACCTAGGCTTCCCCCAAGGAATGCCACAAAGCACGATCCTGAGCTACCTGCATCCATCAACTTCCTGCATGTCTTACCAGGTCGTCACTCCATCTACTGGAGGGACGCCCATGACAACGTAGTACGAGGCCGCCACTCGCGAACCCTTTTTCCCAATCGGTTGTCGGTTCTTCGAGTTATATGGCCGGCCCATCGCC